AACTTCGTATATACGTTAATGTTTGAAAAACGAAAGAAATAAAAGTTATCGGTTCATTAAATGCACCATGCTAAGCAAAACAAGAATGATGAGAATTTTAAAATGACGTGTTCTTTCGCAGTCGGATATGAATGCCATTTGAATACAATATGAATAATATATGTTTTTATTAATTATCTTTTCTTTTATGGCAAAGAAATGTATGCAACGCCGCTTTCAACAGATTTTACACTGTCTTAAAGCTTTTGTTTGAGCTAAATTGATTTAATCTTTATCTCTAACATCTGCATTCTTCCAAAATTATCATTTTCCTATCCAATTAAAAACAAGTTTCTTTTACTGCTGGGATAATGACGATATTGTAAATCATATTTATCGTTTAAATGATCATGACGTTTTTAAATTGTCGTTAAGTTTCGATTGTTTTCATAAAGTTGGCAAGTCTTTGAACAAGCATGTTTGTTGAAAATGTTGTTAAGTGTGTGTTGTTTTGAAACACTTAAAGGAAAATTTTGCTGTCTAAAGTTGGCAATTTTTGAACTAGCGTGGTTTATTGAAAAAAAACAAAGATTGACTTTTACTAATTCATATGTTTTCATGTAAAAGTCTTGCTATCATATACAAAATTTAAATTTTTCAACATTAAAATGGTACTGTTCATTTTGATATCTTTTAAGGCCAATATTTCTATTCTATCTTGAAGACAGACGGGTTACAAAGTTACCGTTACAAATGATGTTTTAAAAACTAGCTTTTTTTCTTTGTAATACCTAGTTCACATCACTCCAGTTTTCCTGTGAACGCAATAAATGTATGTTTTTTCGTTCTCAGAATTAAAGACTGGACATTTTCTTTGCATTCTGTGACTCCACAAACTCGAGAAATTCAGAAATGGATACGAACGACTCGAGCATTTCAGAAATGATCGTCAAAGACACGGGAATTTCAGAAATTGGCACCAAGGACTCGGGAATTTTGGAAATTGGGGCAAAGGATTCGGTAATTTTAGAAATTGGCACCAAAGACTCGGGAATTTCGGAAATCGGCACCAAGGACTCGGGAATTTTAGAAATTTGCACCAAAGACTCGGGAATTTTAGAAATTGCCACCAAAGACTCGGGAATTTTAGAAATTGGCACAAAGGACTCGGGAATTTCAGAAAATGGCACCAAGCACTCGGGAATTTCAAAAGGTAACGCAAAAACACCCTAATATTTAATTTTATAGGTAAATTATATTGCCGACACTTCACGACACTATTTATTCGTGTGTCATGAATAGTGACGTAATATGAACATTCTTTGGTCGATAGTCAGTAAATGATGTTCATTTCATGGAGATTGATAACATTTACTTAACTGAAGGCAAAATTATTTTTCCATATTACATTCATGTGCTACATTGTAATTTTGTTTTATACCTTGCTTTTTCTTTTAATTGAATTTACTACATGCAGTTTTCTGTTATCCCAGCTCATCTGTCTCTACAGTTCTAATGTAAGATTGTAAAATATTGTCAACACACGCGAAACAAAGATACACCCAGGATACTGTCCGCAGGGGCGGATCTAGGGTATGTCAAATCAGTCACGTGACTGATGTTTATAGTTCAAAAATTATTTATCAAATTTCATGATTGCAATTTTTTTTGATCTTTAAATTTTCGTTCTGTAAACGTTTGGGTTTCATCGTCAAAATTCTGTTTTATGTATGAAAACTTATACAAATACCACCTTAGTAAACAGATTAGTAGATAAAACATATTTAGAATTATATTAACTGGCTGACTGATAAGCGGTATGGCTCGACTCCTTCGACCGATAACGGAGTTTAAGAACGCTTATTTAAGCTATTCCATTAGTCAATAGCCAGATCAGTGGACGATCTGGAATAATCTCGAACGATAAGCGGGGTGGCCGGACCGATAAGGGAATCCAATTGCTATCGTGTAATTGGTTCGTTTAAATTTTTGTCTTACTGTGATTGGTTTGACCATTGAGTTCTATAAAAGCTGGAGCGTCTAAGTTGACTGGGACCTGACGCCAAAAATTGGCGGCCAATGTACCTATTTCCGCTGAAATAATCGCTTTTCAGAAAAATTATATTCTCTTCTTGTTACTTATATGTAATGCATGCCATATTGAAGCATTTAAGATTCAATGATGAACTTAAGCTTTATTTTTGAAGTGAAAGCTGTATTAATCAATCAAATTTTGAACTCACATGGCTTCAATAGGAAACACATAAAAAAGAGAAAAAGAAGAGAAGTATTCAATTCACAATTGTGTATTCAAGTATTATAAACACTATTGTAATTCAAGTGTTTTAATTATTTGCATTTTTGCCATTTCACAATCATTACAACGAAATTAACTATGCTACAACTAGACAAGTATTTGATGTAGTTCTTGTTCAGAAGACCACAAAAATCTCAAAGTTTCTCATGATTTGTATACAATATTTTTTTTCATTATTCATTCACGAAAAGCGAGATGCATGTACAAAAACAAATCCTACAATTGTTGTGAAAAAGGCCATCACATGAAAGAAGGCAAAAAACTAATGAGAATAAATGAGCTAACATTTCACTAGTTATCCGTTTAGATAAAATTTGATACATTTTATTTCGTGCAGACTACGAACTTTGATGGAGCAAATCATTAAACGACAGTTACGACGAGCACATCTGCTTTCATATGTGGCCAACAAATAGCTCGTTCGTTAATAGTTAAAAAAGGCAGCCGTCGTAGAAGCCAACAAATAGCAACCGCACTAGACTAGCTTTTATAAAATTTATGTTTTTACAGTGATTTTCATCATAAAATTGCTTGCTAAATATGCGAAAAACACATACTTTTTCCTCACTCTTTCTCAAGGGGGGAAAGAGAAATTATGAAAAATTTGGAAAAGCAGTCAATTTCGGTAAATCTCAGCGGTAATGGAACAAATCCTCCATTTTTTTTGGCGTCAGCCGCTAATTAAAGCCCAGTGAACTCAATATTTAAATGTCTAAGAGTGACACGCAGTTATGTACATCAAGATATTTTCCATGATTATTCTAAGAATGCTCCACTAGAGGTGTCTGAGAGTGAGGGATTATTTTTTGCTGCTCTCATCAAGAAATAATGACATAACCTAAAACAATTTTAGTTAACCCAAATACAGAGTAAAATTTTGATAGGTTGTCTTAGTATCAATTATCAATTTTCTCAAATGTGGTAAGAAAAAAGTGCGCACGGGACATTTCAACTTTTATTTCTCCTAAACTAAGACAAAAAGGAGGAGTTAACGTTTCTGGATAAAAAAATTTCTATTCTTTTACTATTCTTCGACTATGTTCTTAACGCTTGACTTATCATAAGTTGGTATAGCCATTTATTGTACTAATGACTGATTTATGATTTTTAATACGTGCTATGTTAATAGCTACACCTAAAGTCATAAATAGGAGTAAAAGATTTGGCTGGCTTTGCCACTAAAACTTATGTTGTGAATAACACTTTAGATAACTTTTTTTACTCATATAGTGGCCGAGTTTTTAGCTACGTCTTCTCTTTGGAATTATTATTTTATATTCAGGTTTATGGATTTATTCTATTTGAAAAATTATTTGAATGAATGATTGTAATTTCTTTTATAGAAGCTGTAAAGTCTACCAATGTGGTTGCTCAAGATGAGGTTCATATTACCCACGAGGATGCAGCAGCAAATGGTTATAGTAAAGATGATGAGATTATTGCTCAAGATGAGTCGAAGATCAACGTTGCTGGTAATTTATTGCTTCATTTAAATTAAAAACACATTAATTTGTATTGTTTTGTTCATCAGGCCGATTGAAAAGCATAAATTTTGCGGGCCGAAAATTTGATATCATGCGACATGTAACATGCTTTAATAATTAATCAAATTTAGGGTTGACTGTCAATCGTACAAAATCGAGCAAAAATTTGACAAAAGAGATACATGATGTGCATGGAATCCAAACATTGAAATCGAGAGAATTTTGGTCGCCATCGTCCATTGAAGCACCCTTTCGGCTTCTTTCAAATATCGAAATACCACATGATGGAAATCAGAATGGTGGAGCATCTCGCGGTACGATAACATTGATTTGTCTGAAGGATGGTGTTTACTCCGCCTTGACATGCGCACATGTTGCTTGTGCCACTGACCACCAGCAAATATTTTTTCACGGAAACGAGCGACTGGTATCAATCAGCAAAGCTGTACAAACCTTGAATAAACACGATGAAAACAAGTATATGTACACACCGTCTAAGAGTGACTGTAAAGCAGAAATTGGATCTTCTCATCGACTCACCTTTGCTCAGTTTGATAGTGAAACAGACATCATGTCTATTAATATTGGCAAGCAAGAAGATTTCAAGAAACTTATTAGTGATGAAATGGAAGATGTTGTATTGAACTTGGATGATGCAAATGAAGAACTTCAACGGAGGGTTGAAGACAACAAGGAGGCTGTTAAAGTCCGCACAGCCACTGGTGTTGAGGGCTTCATCAGTGAATTGAATTATGAATATTGGTGTAAAAATTCCACACGTCGCATTTTCCAGAATGCCATCATAAGATAAAAAGTTGTCAAACATTTCTTGATTCCGGTGACTCTGGTACACTTGTTTGGTTTTTGGATGAAAAAAAAAATTGGCAACCGTTCGCGTATGGAGTTTGCGAAATATGTGATGATGGTGACAGCGGTTCAGAAAAAAGTTACATCTGCCTGAAGTTGAACCACGGCTTAAAAGCTCTTGGTCTTCAGAATGGTCAATTTTTTATACTTCGGGACAATGGTCTTAGTGTATCCAACAGTGCTAAAAGCAGCGATGGTGAAGTAGGTGCAGCTAGCAAAAGTAAGATGTTTTGAGTTATTACTTCTTTGCCTTGTGTGAACATTTTGCCGCTAGAAAGGCTTGCTGTATATGAATGAAGAAAGTTTCGTTTTCTATAAAGTAACGCTAGCCTTTTATTTTCTTTTGTTTTTAGTTAATATTTCAAAAGTGACATTGAAATGTCGACGCTTTAAACGTCGACGAGGTATTTTGAATCATTACATTTTTGATGTTCAGGTGAATATTTTACATCCTAAAACTTAGTCTCATTGTAGAATTTTATGCATTACTATTACATTGTAATTAATAAGTGTTTGATTTTTTAAAAACCAGATTCGATTTCCCGTGTTCATCAACAGCCACCGTCAGAAAAAATAAAAAACAAGGAATTCTCGTTAAAAGTTAATGGTATTTAGTGATTATGATTTATTATTATCTTAGACTTGAAAACAGTGCACACTCAGAGCAACAAAAAATTATGTAAATTTGTATTGATAGAAAAGAATCCAGTCACATCAACTGGTGCTCGGTTGACATCGGAAATTACAGGTAAAATCGATACTTTATTTACCATGGATTGCATGTTTAACCGTTGATATTAATTTTATGCAACTATCTGAGGATATGTAGGTACCGATGACTTTCAATGCTTCCAAAAATCTCACTATTTGTGTTTTTTTTTGATATTCCTTCAATACCAGCCCAGTTTATATCCACGCAAATGTATTTTTCACACTAGGCACACACTAAGTGCAGGTATCTTTTGAACGTGTCTAATGATGAGCTGGTTTGAGCTCATAGAAAAATATTTGTTGTCAATGAAAAGTCTGTCAATTTTTCGTCAAATAAATTTGGTTGCTCACTTTTGTAGCATTTTGAAGACGTGCTTAAAAAAACGTTTTGCTCTGGTGCATGATGAGCGAAATGTTTCAATATTTTTCTCCAAAATAGCATTTTGTATTATGTTTTATTTTTCTTGTCAATTGCAGAAATGCAAATAGATGAGTAAATTTGAAATTAGTTTTGCGCTAATTTTTTATTGACAAATTGGCAAACGTTTTGGCTCGAAGAACATATTTAAGATTATAAAGATGATAATCTGCCCCAATATTTTATTAGTTATGTATGAAAAAAAAACACACAACATTTTAATACAGAAACATTAAACAGGAAAAATTTAAGTTCTTAATTTGATGATTTATCAATGTTATAGATGACCTGAAGATCCGAGCTGTGTTTAAAACAGCAAAATCTGTATCCTCACCTGACAAGGATAATTTCAGTAACACAAGTTCAATTACATAGTGCATTTTTTCGGAAGAGACTCTAAAAATTGTGTTCTTTGTCTTCCTTAACGCAGGTCGCATCTCTTTAAAACGGTCTTTACAATACGTTGAAGGTGATTTGAGCTACGTTGGGTTATTTTATTTTTGTATTTTGATAAGGCCTCTGACAAATCTGTGTTTATATTTTGCGTAAAGGTGACAGCGTCGGCAAAGGCTATACCGATGAAAAAGAATTGTCGTCTGCAATACCTCACAAAAAGTAAGCACATCAAATTTAATCAATTTTGAATTAAAAATAGTCCGTTTTCTCTTCATTTCATCTTTATAAGAAGGATATTATAATTTATTTGTGGGATGTCACGCTTGGTCGATGACGATGTTTAAAAAGGCGAAAATTTTTTATCTTTAATCTGTATTTTTATAATTATATTAAAAGTTTCCGAAGTGCAATATTAAAATAAGGAAATATAACTTCCATTGGTATATTACTACTGAATTTTTTAGCTGATTGGAATTTTTATTGCTCTGAAAAAAACAGCATAGCTGTTGTAATTATTTTCCCACAAGTGATCTTTATATAATTTCGGACTGATTGTCTGGTTGTACTGTTGACAGAAAATTGCAAAATGGTGGAATTATCTTCAAGAAATTTTCAGGTAGGCAAGAATGACCAATTTAATGACCAATGTACACGCAATCGACTTGTTATGCGAGCAATTAATTTCAAAAGATGGCAGCAGTTTTATAGAAAAAATATCAAATTTGAAACGTTTCATTGAGGAAATAACACGATGACCATGTGGAGACATTAGCTAATTTGCATGTAGTCAGAAAAAAGAAAGATTGAAAAAATTCCTTCCTTTAAATTTGGTGTAGCTTTATAAGCTATTGATTCAACTTTCATAGCTATGTCATGTTGCATTATAAAGTCAGTAAATATAACTTTGATTTTTGTTAGTGGAAGGAAAGAGTTTAAACACGTTCTGAAACAAAAATAAAATGTAAATTTCATGCACTAGTTTTTTATTTTTTGTTCAGTGCATAGTCGAGATTTATTATATGTCTTTTTCCGTAGATGAAGCTCCCAGTCCCAACACGAGTGATTTTAAAAATACGTTTCTAACCAAAGGTTGCAAAATTAAAGATTGGGTGCATGAAAAATTGAAAAGGTAATGATTTCTTATCATATTTAGTATAATTTTGATTCATTTGGCTTGACAAGCCGCCATCACGCTGATTTTTTGTCGAACACCGTGACGTTTTCCCATTCACAGTTTTTCTTGGCTTTGTGGCAAATATGGCATAGCCCATCCGAACAAAGAGATGCCTTATCTTCATTTGTATCTCGAAGTGGACAAGAAAATGAGAGGGATTGATTTAAAACCAGGAATCAATAAGATATTTGATGGCAATGCTTCAGAATACATTGAATTACGTTTAGTCGACCCATCAGACGAAATAATAATTCGACCACTATCCAACATGGTTCACTCAAAGCGCGATGATGAGCCTAATGAGGAATCTTGTGGCACTTTGACTCTGTTCAGCTGTAAAGATGGCAAACATTACGCGTTGACTTGTCTTCATGTTGGTTATGGAAAAATTCTGGAAGGTGCAGATCAAATCTTTTACATTCGAGACAAAATTGAAAATGATAAATTGGCATTTGAGAAATTTCAACTAAAAAACAAGTACTCTTATACTCATGAAAACAGCATAAAAATACCTCTTGGCGAGCTATTTGATTACTCATTTGATCTTGAAACCGACATCATGGCAATCTTAATTGATGACAAAGAAAATGAATTTACTGCGGCTGAAATAGAGATGCCGAGCTCCTTCGATGCTGTGTTTGATAATTTGTTATCAAAGGAAAATGAAAAAGTTTATAAAGTTGGCGACGATTTTGGCTTGAACGTCATTGCTGACCTTAGTCATAGCGTTTTTGACAACAACAAGAAATTAGTGTTTCGTGACGTAGTGGCAGTAAAGAGTGATAACGAATTCCTCCGGCGTGGAGATTCTGGTTGCCTAGTGTATTATTATGATGAGAACGACAAAAAGATACCATTTGCGTATGGAGTTGCTGCAGTGACCAAGAAAAACGAGACGTATTATGTTTGCATGAGATTAAAAGATGGTTTAGAAAAGTTGGGACTTCTCGAAAATGTCTCCTTCAAAGATTTTTCACGTGGTACTAAATTATTACTCTTTGTGATGAAAAACATATATATGCATCATTTAAAAACCTATGTACTTATTTAACTTATGTTCATTTATATATTATTTTTACAGGCATTAATTTGTTTAGAATTTATTCATGAATTTAACATTTGCGCAATTTTTTTCAGTCTCAATGTTTCCGCATTTAAAGGAACCTGTACTGCATATTTACATAAGATCGTTACACTACAAAATTTGCATAAGATCGTTACACTAGAATATTTGCATAAGGTCGTTAAAAGTATGCAAAGCCGATGTGGGCAGGAAAAAATCAAAATGCATTGCAAAAAATGTTCTTTATGAAAATGCTCTTTGTGAATTAGATATTGGTTTGAGTCGTTAAAAAAATAACAAGCGTTTTCAAAATGTCAGCGTTTTGACAGATTGCTATTTTTAACTACTACTTATATTATCATTTGGTAATGTTATTTATTTGCATTGTTCCAGCTTCGAAAAAAAGGGAACCTTCTGTATGCCAATCGAATGATAATGACAGTTTCGAAGACAGCGATGCAATGCCTTCATCAGGTAACAAAATTTTTATTTTTCAGAAAAATCATTCTTCATTGCTATTTTTATCATTCTATCATTGCTCTTTTTAACTACTTCCGTTATAATGGTGCAAAATAATAAATTTTAAAATGTTTATTCATTCCTATACTGTCACCATTTTACGACGGTGAGATACTCAACTGTGAATCGAATGCAAAACATAAATGTAAACTTTGTGCTAGGGATTAATGATGAAAAGAGTGTGGAAGAAGGATACATTAGTGAAGGTTTGGTTATAAACCTGCAACATTCTCAATAAATCAAAGTTGCAACTTTCACTAAGTTGCAACTAAAATATTTTTTTGCTATTGCGCTTGCACACGACGATAGTAAAATTGTTGTTTTCAAAATTGATTGTACAAAATATGTGTTTGTCTACAATAACCTTAAAAATATAATGATAGCTATATATAAAAATACTTTCATTTGTTTCCACATATTACATCATTACTTATGTGACGACCAATATCTTGACCAATGGATATTTTCCTCGTAATCAATACAGAAACAAACATGTTGTTGTTGAAGAGAAAAACCAATCAAAAATACTTTTTATAATGTAAAATTGTAATTTGTGGTTCTGTAATTTTTATATTTTCTCATATTTGTCGGTGTGGTATTATGATGGGACCAAATCTTAAAAGAAGCCCATACATTTACATTGTTCATAGTTCATGATAAAGAGCCCATTAAATTGTTTTGTTGTGTTATAAATAAAATAAAAAATGCTGTAGTTGAATGTCACTATAACTATATAATATTTTAATATTTTTTTATTATTTATTTTTCATAATGCTGAAGACGGAAAACAACGTTTGGAAGGTTGGTATAACGAATTATTTTCAGTTTCGTAAAGATTATGATTAATTTTTTACTGCTCTCAATTGCTTGAGTTGGAAAATGCTGTGTAAATTTTTAATGACTAATAACTAGGAATGAAAAATTCTTTTCATTGCATGCATAAAATTGTCCGTGTCTAAACGTAAAGTGCAGCATGTCGTAAACAACCATCTTATTTCTTATTTTTCCCAGTTAAAACAAAAACAGTTATTGAAGGGATCATTGCTTTGTAGCATTTGTAGAGATCATTGAGTAAATTCAATTTATTTTAAGAGGATATTTGGTCATAACATTCACATACTAAATTTCATGTTTTATGTTAGTGTGAAAAGGATCTGTGTTTCATCCTTTGGAGAATTGCTCAATCTAGTGTAGCAGATCTAGCGTTTGTCAAAATGAATTATAGGTGCTCAATTTTAAATTCAAAATATATTCAAACCAAAACTATTGAATTTGAATTTCAAAAACATAAACTCTATCAATGGACTTGCCTCTATGTATTTGGAAATGGAAATATATCCAAGCAAGAGCTGTAGCAATTTATTTTGACGTACTCTAGATCCGCCACTAGCTTTATTGAGTTAAAGGTTGGTATGGTCATGTAATGAACTAATCGTGGAACGTCGATTATTGCGCGTGAATTGTATGATGACCAACTCATTTCTACAGGAGTAAATGTTATTTCCATATCAAAATAGAAACATCCGTGTTTTCTCATCCAAAGAAAAACACAGCAATTTTTTATGTTATGTGATATTGCCAAAACAAATAAAAATATGAATTGATGAATTTATTGCATGAATTTATCAGTCCTTTTTTAATCTTTCCTGATTTGTACTTCTCTTTTAAGTTCAAGAATTGTTGCGTCAACCATGGAAATGTTTTGATAAATCAATAATACATCAGAAAAAGTTTAAAAAGATGGAGGAATATGGACGCAAACATCCAGAAGAAGTTAGACTGCTCGGTGAATTGCGTGTAATTTTCAAGGAGGAGTTTTTGATTGGCAAAGGAAGTGATGGAGCCCGTGTTTACCTTGCCCTGGGAAATAATGGTTATGGAAAAGCAGTAAAGCGAATACACAAAGATAGCGGCAAAGACTTCGCAAATCGAGAAAAAGAAATTTTTAATGAGTTGAATGCAAAGCGCTCAAATTATGCAGTGAATTTTTTCCATTTAGAAGAGAACCTTGACGAAGAGTATTTGTACATGATATTAGATTTGTGTGAAGAATCGTTAGAGAGTTATGTGAAATCTTCTTCTTTGCAAGATCTTCAAAAAGTCGTTCCTAAAGTTCTTATTCAGATCTTAAATGGTCTAGTTCACCTTCACAGCGGTGAGCGTCCTATTCTTCATCGGGATTTAAGACCCTCGAACGTTCTTCGAGATGTACAAGGAAATTTTTTAATCGCTGACTTTGGCATAAGTCATATGTTATCTGATGAAACTTCGACACATCGGAGCATACAGAGAGGAGCTAAAAATTGGATAGCTCCAGAGTCATATGACAAATCAAATGCATCAATTGATAAAGCTCGTTACAAAAAAGAGTCTGACATTATGGTAAGTTCTTGAAGTACAACTAGAGGTCCAACTACAGCTCAATGTTGTGTTTGCATTTAATTGAATATTGGTATTTGGTAGTGATAATGATTTTACCTCAATTTTTTTCTTTACCTCTATCGTATCGTCTTATAGTGTCAACCTATAAATTTAAATAAAAATAAATTAAGTTTTGTTAATCGTTTTACAGTTACATATGTATGTTCCTTATTAGATTGCTTTTGATACATATATACGGCTACAATTCTATTTGGAGAACATTTTTTACATTTTTTTAAGCTGCACTTTTATTGTTGAGTGCTGCAAATCGCAAATAAATTTAATCTTTAAGGTTTTAGTATCCGCCACTGACTGTTTATGACAATTTTTTATTGAAAATAGAATGCCGGAATGCTGGCTTATTATGTTGCAACAAAGGGAAAACATCCTTTTGGAGATGAACGGCTTAGACTAGACAACATTTTGAAAGGAAACCTAGTTGGCTTGGACGAAATCGAGGATGTCACGTTCAAAGACCTTTTATCGTGGATGCTACAGCTAGAACCGGAAGACAGGCCATCCGCCAATGAGGCGTTAAAACATCCTTATCTACAATCCGATGAAGAGAAATTTAACATGCTGTGTGATATGGGGAACCAACCGGAAATGAAACAATCACAAGGTCAGAGTTCTCCAAATTCAGATGTTTTTGCGCAATTGTATGCTCCCATGGAATGGATGACGCTTATCGATTATGAAGTCTTGAAAGATTTCAAAACCTTTGAAAAGAATGGCAAAGAGATAACTCTGACTTACAAGCCTACATGGGCAAGTTGTTTAAGATTCATAAGAAAAGTGAAAGAGCATTGGAGCGATGATAAAGATAAACCTCGTACACATCTGTTGCTTTATATCAAGGAAGGCAACTATGTAGACTATTTCATGCGACGTTTCCCTGAACTGCCACTTCTGGTGCACAAAATTCTAAGGTCGACTGACTGGAAAACAAGAGCCGATCTTCAGAAACATTTTACAGCTTAGTCATACAACAATTTTTTATGTTAAACGAAGTAGCCAAAATAGTATTCCATGACACCATACAAAGTCCTAATATACTTGCCTTTTTCACTAAAAAGTTTTTTTCATTTGATAATATGCAATATGCATGTTTTAAGTACTCTATAAATGCTTTCCAAGATGAGAGCATTTTCTTTTTTTATGTGATTTTTGATTCTAATATATTGTGGAGCCAAGGGGGACGGCCTCTGACAATATATTGAGGTTTTTGTAAACGTAACTTGAGGTTTTTGTAAACTGAGGTTTTTGTAAACGTAACTTGAAAGTTTCAGTTGAATAAAACATTGCGTTATACATTGTATGTGACATTTTGGAGGTGTTACACTCCTCCCCCCTCCCCAAAAAAATAAAATACTGCTAGCACCAATGTACGTCTAATGGAGAGCCAAAAAGTTGAAGCGTTTTTGTCTAAGTTAATACCTTTTTTATACAAGTGTTTTCGTCTCTATCTCAAACCTCTTTAATCTCATATATTTGCACATTTTGATTACCGTGATGTTCATTTTATGTAATATTTTGTAAACATTTAAATAAGCGACAATATTTTTCAATTTTGTAATTTTGATGACAGACATGTTTCGACTTCACCACAAGCCATCTTAGTCGCAGATTTAAGATAGAAATATGATACAGCTGTTACATGCATGAAACCACCAAAAATTTTGCCACATGGATCAAAGAACACACCACCTCCAAAAAAAACTCCACGTTGACAAACATTAACAAAATCTGAAAGCAAATATAAATACTTCATCACGCTTCTCTAACACTGCAAACACTTCATTCACTTTCAAACTCAAGCAGACCCTACACATACACCAACACAAACCAGACCTGAACAAACAAGTCCAACATTTTAATAGTATTTTCCAACTTTAATTTTTTCCCTTTTCCTAACTACGCACATCCTGTATCTTGTCCCTAATCACTAATAATTTGTCAATTATATTATCTATTGAGTGTGAGTATCAGCAGGGGCCGCGGAGAAAAGGGCAATTACCTCTCCCCCCCCCCTACTTTTTTTAATATCTCTTGCTTTGTAAAGTGTAAAAGTATAAAAACCCGCCCCAGGAAAACACTTACATTTGATAAGTATGAATGTTTAACAGTATTTCATGTCTCACTTATGTTCCACCTTCATTTTTTAGTTGACGTTAGATTGATCAAAAATAGCGCGTTCAGACTAATTGCCAGAGTACGATACCCTGGTTCTGGCAAAAATCTGCAGGTTGTTTACCCTACGTAGTCCCCACTAGTTTCTTCATATTTTCAAGTTTTAAAACCATGTGCTGAATGCATGCCTTTCTGTACACGTTACTCAGGTGTTGTCGTTCACATTGGTGCCCGTGCCGAGCGCCGTACTTGGGTAATACGTCTTTTGTGGTGTCCAGTCCTGGGCACTTATACACAGGAACCATCAAAATTTTGTGTTCACATTGGTGCCCGTGCCTGAACATTGTGCCAGGCACTCAAACTGAACACACGATATGAAACAAATTTTGTATTTTGAATGATTACTGATAAAACTGTTAAAACAACTTTACTATACTGGCAACAACAATCCGATTCTGCCACCTTCTTTTGCCTCCCTTCCCCACTTTCTAAACCTCTCCGCGGCCCCTGTATCACCTCAACTGTATTAGTTTCTATCTTATATATTTCACAGAATCACATTGTCTTGTTGTCTACTTTTGCTAAACGCTATAAATCTTGTAATCCCAGTTGCTGCCTAAAAACTTTATCTTCAACTTAGTTTCAACTCTCACAAGATACACCATTACAAAAGCTCTTTGATTCTGGGGTTCTGCCTTGGCATTTGTCAGACAATAATTATACACATTTGATTATTACATAACTGAGGTCTGTGGACCAATAACTTCATGCTTTAGCTCAGGTATTATTAAGCACATCAACTCATTTGTAACGATATTTTGCACAAGAGTTTCAGTTGTTTTTCTAGTTGATAAAATGACAAAGACTTAATTGATACCCTTAATGTAATTGTTAACGGTAAATATGTATCACTTCAAGACATTATTTTGAAATTGATGAGAGTCAATGACAAGGATAAAAAAAATTAAAATCGAGTAGAAGCAGAACATCTCTGCTTGTATCTAGTGCATTGTATTTTATCTGCTATCATATTTCACTTATAACTCTCTTTTACATTTTATCGACTTGCTATTTTTAACTTATTACCTATGACGGAGAAAAAATTTTATGATCATTAATTGAAGATAAGTTTGGTAAAGTTGGTGAGTCTTCTTTAGACTAAGGACCAGGAAGATGAACATTAACGTTTTTAATTGGAAACTTACAGCACTAAGACAATTATTAAGGAAAATTGTGTCATCATATATGAGGTTTGATAAGAGTTAATTAGACCTCCTACTATAATTAGCAATTTTGTTAATAAAGTTACTGGAAACAGCATGTAAGAACCTTCCTTATAGTTATAGCAAATTTGCCAATTATGTTTTTTATGCAGTGGTCTGTATGTTGTTCATATAAGAATGCGATAAAATCATCAAATCTGTAAAACTGCTGACCATTTCTATTTTTGCATTGTTATTTGTATTTATAACTTTACACAGAAGTGTGACTAGAGCGTTAATATTGGGGTGGTGTATACTTATATATTCCATTGTGCCCGACTTTCTTTTGCTAATTTTTAAAAGAAATCAGTAGAGCAAAACTAAATATATGAACATTTCCCCAAGTCACGCTTTAGTTACGCCTCTGGATTTACTACAATATTTCGTTAAATTTGTTTTAGTTTACACATGCATGATCATCCTCTATATAGTATAAGTTAAATATTTCATATTTTCTTAGTTTGAGCAGTCATCTTCTCACTGGTCAATTTTTCAATGTTCGTAAGTGATGGTTTACTGAGTGACTGGATGTATATGAAAAAGTAGATACACTTTGTATGATTTGTTATACAAATTGGTGCTCATTTTTAACTTGACATAGGATTTTCCATCTGACGTTAGATGGTTTCTGATGCAATTTAAAATGTATCTACGTTGCATTCTCTTTAAAAATACAAGAAAAACATAACAGCTGGACGATATCAGATCAGATAAGAATATTTTATCGAATAAAAACAGTTCATTTGGTAAAATATTGCTTTGTGACCATAACCGAACACATGCTAATGTTCAGCTTGGATTAATTATGTTATGTTAGCTCTTGTCACCTCACTCTCCTCCATCGTGTTTCTTAAATTGCACTGCTTTTTGATGACAACTATGTTTTTAATACGACGATGTATTAATCACTTTTTTAACTTAACACTGGCAACCTTGACCGAACACAACATTTACGCATGGTAGACAATTCGCAAATCTCCTTTCTAATCCTTTGACATAACAAATTTTGATTAGCTTTTTAAGTTGTTGTGTTTTTTTCAACATCAATGCAAGTTTCACAAAAAAATGTATCGCCTACTGGGACTGCAGTGGCAATTGAATTTTACCATGGAAGAAAAAAGCAAAGTTGTAAATGCAATCTTCAACGATGCTGAACGATAAAATTGCATCAATGCAGCAACACTGTACACGCAAAAAAATTATGTTATATTGCAGAACGTTATATCCAGAGAAAAATTTCACTTGGAGCAACTGTGCAGTCACTGTAAGTGCAGTGTACAATGTTAAAAAATGGAACCGTTCTAAATGTGGAAGGGAGGAAAAATCTGACAGGTTAAAGTTATTAGCAGTTTTTAGTAACAAATGTGAATCAAGCTTTAGAGAGTTTGTTTCCACTAGCTGAAAATTTTGTACATTTTGCCAAAAAATTTAGCATGGTTTGTCATTCAATATTGCTTCAATTCTTCTTATTTTTCTAGTGTTACATGGCTGCTTGAAGCATATGGAGTTGCTGGTCCAAACAAGAAGTTGGCATTCCACTATTCAACGTGGCTTCAATATGTTCAATTCTTTCTGTTTTTCTGGTGTTACTTGGGTACTTAGAGCGTATACTACATATTGTTTAAGATTTGAGAAAACTAACATTGATTACATGAGAAGCTGTTTACTATAACCTGTGATTTTGAGTCTTATGATCCATGAAGCTTATTATTTTGACAATTTGACTGGAATGGTATTAAACCTGAGTATTTCACATACATGAAATGTTGTCCCATGTCACATATTGTCCCCTTTTCTAACTGAACACCTCATGTAGAGATGTAAAGGTGTGTTAATCTACGGCTCATACCAGATTGTTGCCATAAATTCCAAAGGGCTATTGATGTATGAAAAGCATTTTCTATAAAGTAAAAATGCCTTCCTATGTATGCAGATAAACCTTGAAATTTGGCAAAACAGCAAAGTATTTTTCATGATCACTAGGTAATTTTTCTGATGATCATTATAATTTCTAAACTAAATTATTTTAGATTTACATTTAAACAAGCTTTGATCATATGAAAAGATATTTATCATAACCAGTAAGCATTACACATAAACCATTTTTAACATTCATGTAATTATATAATTAAAGACATGTTGGTTACATTCTGTTTGTATTTGATAATACAATGCTACTAGTGATTGCTATATAGCACACCTTGCAGAAGATAATAGTCTAGTGAAATGCCTAATAAACATTTATGGCATTAAGCTAACCTTAACTGCAAATTTTCACTCTGATAATTTTGCTTAATCTTTGGCAGAAAAAAATTTTGAGTTTTTCTCAAAGGGTGAATTTGCTGGCACTGATGTGGAGATGGGTAAAGAGTTACAATAAACTTGCATGGTTTGAAGTCTGAGCTTTTCTATATCTATGAACTGTCACTTGTAGTACCAAATTTCTAACTTAACGTATTACATAGAGGTTTGAATGGGGTCTCTAGGGTCTATGCCTGACAACTTGGTAGAAATTTTAAAGAATATATCTGTTTTGAATAGCATTATTGTAAAATAAATTTACGTTCCTAGACATGCTAATGAGCCATATATTTGGCATGATAATGAGCCTAAATATTTGGCAAAACATTCAAGTATTGTTCACTTCATTTTTTTTTTGAAAAAAACGTAACCAAAATGTGTTGTATTTACGCAAAAACGCTGCCCACAAATACATTTTGTAATGCTCTAAAACGCTGAAAATGGCATTTTTAAGGCTCTGAAATTCAAAATTTCTCAGAGATAGCCTCAGACCCCCCCAGGTGCGGAGCGCCTCCGACGTTTTATGACTGATGTTTGAAAAATCCTAGATCCGCCCCTGAGTGCCTACACTGTAGTGACAAAACAGAACATACGTGAGTGTCTACACTGTAGTGACAA